AAAACAATAGTTTCTTATATAATTAAATTTCTCATTATAATTTAGAATTATCAATGTATTTATTTAAATTTGTAATTCTATAATTCTATTGATTTATTTTATGTTTAACCAATATAAAATTCATAAACATCAATAGCAACTACAAGTTAAATTGCTTATAATAATTAACAACAAAATTCAATACTAAAAAAGTAGTAATTTATATTATAGTAATAAATTTAAGAAAATCTATTTTCTATAACGTAACTTAGAAGATAAAGAAGTTCTGGATAACAAATCCCTGATGCAAGTATAATGGAAACTGTTGCAAGACTTTAAAGTTAGGCTTCTATAGATCCTCAACCGAGGTCATTCAATAAAATCCCACTTAGGCCTTTCTAATGGCTGTTGGACCCAATTCCAAAATAATAATATCAATAACCACCTATGAATTAATAATTTTAATAGCCTTCTCAAGTTTATTAACAATAGTATAGAGTCGAGAATATAATTATTAAAACCGCCCTTAAATAGCAACTCCTTTAAATTATAGTTAATATTATATAATTATTTAGAAAATACATTTATTGGCATGAGCAATATAATTAAACAAATGAAACTCAATAACCATATCAATAAAATAAATAACTAACCACAGTATATTTAATAAACACCTTTCAAAATGTTCAAAATAACCCTCCATACAATTAATTAATTAATCTACCCTACAACAACCAACTGTATCTACTTCATCTTCAACTTTCTCATTTCCAACTCTCAATGTGAATTTATCTATTAAATTAATAATATTTTAAAAAGAGAATAGTTAATAAAAGGAAATCTTCAAAGTTTCTTTTGGAAAAATAAAAAGTATGTAAGAGACCGAAATTAGAACATTTACAATCACTAATTAATGAATTAAAAAATATATCAGAAAAAATTTCTGAATATATTGTAGATAAAAGAATAATAGATAATTTCAGAGTTGAATTATTAAAATTATATTTAAACAATTAAGAAAATTAAATGAATCTAACACATTCGCTTAACTTTTGATTTCAAGACAGGTCGAATGTAGTACTTCCACGGCAGAATGTCTTACTATCGAATACGATTTCTTATTTAAAAATATAAATGCTTTATGAAGCTTAAATTTAGTTGATTATCATCTTGGATTCTCAACTTTTAGTTTATAGATTTTTTTATAATTATTCTTACTAATAATAGTTACTAAGTATCTCATTTATCCTGTTAAGTTATGACTAATAGATAAATTTCAGCTAAATAATAAGTCTTACATGTTCGAATTTAAAAACCAAATCAATAAATTAATAATGATTATATTAGTCTCTTCAAAATTTATAGAGGATAGACTTTAATAATATAGAACCAAGCAAAATTATAAGAATTAATAAAACTTCAAATCACAAAATTAATAAATAATAATAAGCATTTTTGTTTCAATATTTTAAATTATTCTAAATATACACAATAAGTATAATTAC